AGGCGGGATGGGACGGGCTAGACGTGTTGGGTCGCTGGAGGCGCGAGCTCAAGAACGACGCAATCAGCCCTGGCAGCATAAGGCAGGGGCCGGATGTAAGGCTAAGCAGCGACGCCGGCCGCTTCCTGTGCGATTTCATCTTCTACGAAAGCTTGAGCTGGCGCTGGAAAGAAGACCAGGAATGGCAAGAATTCCCATCTCGGCCCCAACACGACGAGGATCAACAGCCTCTTCCATCCGTACCGCTCACACCATCACCAGCGCTCGAGAGCCTGACCCCCAATTCAGAAATCCCCCGGGTCCGCAGCCGTGCGTTCTGCTTTTCTCGTATCGGCTCTCTTTATCCTCCAGCACTATTCCGGTCTTCAACCCAAAACCTAGCGCTCATGTCTTCATATCGTGTGATCTAGTTCCACTGGGGAGGAGGGATATGGACGGGGAGGAGGGGGGATGCCCGTGCGGTTGCCGAGCCCGAGCGCTGGTGAGACGAGAAGTAGGAGGGCATTGGTGGGCGTGGAATTTATGAGCTGAGCTGAGCTGGGCTGGGCTGAGCTGGGCGTAGCGTCCAGTGGTATCTTGGGATGATTATAGTACAGGACCTTTTCAAAGAATACTTACAGGCATGTGTAATACATAGTTATGAGCTTAGGGCGGAATTGGTAAACTAGCTGGTGGGGTTGGGGAGGGGAAGGGAAGGGAAAGGTGACTTTGGAGGTATGTGGGTTAGGGAGTTGGATTTACAGACAAGGATTGCGGCTGGAATTTTATGCCATCATTATGTAGCTACGTGTCAGCTCTTAAGTTATTGTCAAGATTTGGACGGAGTCCTGCTCCAGTCACAACAAAGATGTGACGTGAAAAGTGACACGGGACTCGCTCGGATGGAGCATAAAACTTTCGTACCATGATGTAGGTGGGGCAGGGCGTCACCTAAGACAAGGCTCACACAACAGTCAGACATGGAGAGAGAGACACGTTATGATTAAAGGTTTGTGATGAGACCAAGGCGGCAGGCATGAATGGCTATTCTGGCAGCTGCCAATTCTAACTCGCTCTTTACGCGCGCCCACCGCAAATATACATAGGCGCCAGTCTTCTCGCTCGCCTCGGTTAAGCCTCCTCCACGAGGCAAGACCACGATCCCCAGTAGGTATAGCACCGCATACAATACCACCTCTGCCAATATGCTTTACACGAATGCAATCCGAGCAGACCAAGCGATCCCATCATCCATGCAATCAAGATGGAAAAAGTATCTGTACAAGAGAAGGTATTGAACGAACTGGCTGGGATTACTAAAGCAAAAGAAGTGTGGTTCAAAAGCGAGAGACAAGTAGTAGTTTCCCAGAAGGGAAAATGGCAGGCGGGGTGGGATCTGCAAGTTGAGCCTTGAAAACGAGTGGTGGCATGCTGTCCATCCAAAGCGGGCCACTTCTGACCTCACTAGGAGAATGTGATCAACCTGTGTGTCTAGCGAGGGTGTATTAAAATCCAGAAGGCTCGGGCAAGACGTCCAGTTGGAAGTCAACCGCCACCAAAGCTCGATGATGTGCATATATGCTTTCAGGTAAAGCCAGATGACGATGTAGGACACCGATCTGGAGGGGTATAAAGTCATGTATAGCGTCAGTCCGCCGACCCAGAACGCCATGCCATGATGCATATGCTCTAGGATTCCAAACGCCAAGCGCCAGCGAATGCCCGAGAAATGCTAATAGGAGAACATCCGACGGTTTCGAAAGGAATGAGGATCATGAGCGCCACGGAAGTCTAGGTCGACCTTCTTGCCAGAAGCGAAGTCAGTCTCCATGGCAGAGTTGTGATGACTTCGGCTCGGACCAGTAGGACTGTCTTCCATGGAAGGTGAATGCTGGCCGAAAGCAAAAGTCTGCGCCCGCGCCAATTTGGATCGCTGCTTGACCTTGCCGAGACCCATCTCGCAGGCCCGCGCATGTTCCTGGGCGTCCATCTCGACATAGTTCTGTGGAAAGCACCTAGATCGATAATCGTTGAAAAATGAGCTATACCCACCGTCTAGAATGTATGTTTCGGGGTAGGTGAGTTGTGGGTAATGTTCAGCATTTGCTTGTCGATCTTTGCTACGAATAAACTTGGCCATAATAGGTGCACGATGAGCTGAATACTCGCAGTGGAAGATTAAAAGTGCTCTGGAGGTTGGCTCGACGTCGAAGAGCTGGGACGACAATTGCTCTTTGTCGTTGAAGTTGATGGCTCCGTCAATGTGACCGCCCTCGTACTCATATTCAAACCGACAGTCGATAATGACAAACTTCTCGTAAAGATGGTTGAATTTACCATCCAAAACCTCTACCAAGGTCTCTTTGGAGATTCGAGGCAAGTTGTTTGATTCATCTTGGCAGACAGTGTGAGGCAGTTGAGGAACATGCGGAGCTTCAACATCGGCAATTGGCGATAGAGATGCGACTCTCCCCTGGTTCATGACGTCCTCTGGATGCTCAAACATACTCAAGGACCTTCTGAATTGTTTGCGAGGTCGAGTGACAGGGTTTGAGTTCTTTCTCACGTGTCCGAGAGGCGAAGCATTTCGGCTGACATTGGCAAGCCCAGCAAAGGGTTGTCTTAACCGTGGTGGCGGCATCAGCGGATTACTTCGAACTACCAGCTTCTCCTTTGGGGGTGACTCGTCGAACGCTTCAGACAGATTACATAAGGAGGAGGAGGCCGCTTTCTGCGCTCCAATAACATTGCCGAACTTGAATAGGGGAGGTTGAGTCTCTGTCAAAGGCTTTTGAGGAATGGAACTGGTAGAAAGACCCTTGGTTCGAGATAGTGATGGACGACGGGGACCAGATTTTCTTCTCCTGAACATGATCAGCACGAAAATTTGTCAACTGGCCACAGATCTCACTCATGAGGAATGGTGAGCTGCGGAAACTGGAATGCAGGTGGCTCAATTGGTGATGGCTCTGACAGCATTGAAGAATCCGACGGGGTCAGTTCAGGTGTGGGAGACTGCAGCTCTATCTCGACAGTGCGGCTGAAGGCCGGCTTGTGTGGCAGGGGTGAGATGTCCATTGAGTCGCTGGTAGGTAATGGAGAGGATGAAGGGACCGGTGGTGTTGTAACGGTTTGAACTCCTGCCGAGCGTTGAGAAGTTATTCCATAGCAGCAACATCATTTACCCTTACCTCGTCCAGAGAGACCTCCCATGACCTGAGTAGAGAACAGTGCACGACGTGGAGTGGGTAGCTGTGGGCTACGGAGTGGTTAGCATGGTAGACGCTGTTGGGAGATTTGGACCATACCTCTGGTCAATATGAAAGTTCTGCGAGAGGTCCGCAGCCAAGCTAGCTGTTGGTGAAGAACCTCGAACGGGCTGCATACTAAAGTAATCAGAGCGAGCCTTCTTCATAGAAAGGTCTTTGAAGTTGAAGCAGTTTGGCCCAAAGCCCTTGATCGTTGCGTAGTTGGGATACGCAGTAGAAGCATCTGCCCTGAACCCACAGTGACCGCCTAAGAAAGCCGAGGAGTGCTGCATGGCAGCTAGTGGTGAAGAAGCTTCCATGTTGAGTATTTCTTTTCAATTGCAGATATTTGTGGTTGCAATGTGTAGGCCAATTGGGTTTGCCCCGCTAAGTACACTGGTTGTCCTGGCGAAAGCTGACCGATCCGGTTGTGCAACTTGTGGTATTCTGCAGCGAGCAAACACTCCGGGGTCTACACAAATGTAATTTTCTCTAGCTCCTCTTCCAATTGACAACAGCCTTTCCGCAAAGGTATACCCTGGTCCCCTAGGGAGCTCTACTGTGAGTACATCGAGGACGTGAGTTATTGGAAGGTCGAGAGGAGCGGGCGTGCGCTGAGGCTCGGAGAGAAGGCGAGACGAGGATGAAGCAGCCCGAGGAAAGGGGGAGGAGGAGGGAGGATGAGGTTGTCAGGAGGATGCCTGTCGAGGAGGGAGAGAAGGGAGTGAAGGAAGCAGGATAGCTCTTAAGAAAGACGAGCAGTTCTTTCCGTGTCTACAGCAACACGCTCCCAGGCTGGCAGCTACTAGTTAGTATCTCCTACGTACCTTTACTACTACTACTAAAGCGGGGCCTTCAGCTTGAGCCCTACCAATTGCTAAGTATCCACTTAGTCTTAGCCACTTAGCGAAGGAATGAGGCCCCATGAGCCATCACTATTAAGAAATCTGGTTCGGGTACAAGTAACCAACTCTCTCCACCCCCTTTCTATCCACTTAAGCTGTCTAGTCAATCACAGATCGTACCAAACAATAAGTAATCTCCTCTCTCAACGTCATTTTCTATGCCAACTCACCCATTTCTTTGGCGTGTCGCCTACGGAAACAGAGCAAGTTCAAGGACTAGTACACAATCCCACATCCCACCAAATGCCCGTCGAGTGGGTCAATGCACTGATGAGGAGCTGACAGGTGCTATGTGACTGGCCCCCTACGTCGCTGCAGCCAAGATGAGCCACGGCGCCAGTCTACGTCCGGGCACTGGCCAATCCCACTCTTCATCTGACAAAACCTCTTCAGGTTGTCCTTTGATACCGGAAGCTGCAGGGTGATGGTCTGCACTTCGAGCAGCCATGATTGTATCCACGGCATTTCTGAGCTCATACTGGTCAACATGTCTTCCCGCTCCTTTTCTTACGGCACAGAAACTTTCTATCCACCGGGGCTTATGAAGAACTCAGCAACAATGAAAATTGGATGCCGCGCCATATAACTACTAAGTTGGCAGGACCACAGGATCGACCGTGGCTTGAAGAATGCTATGCAAAATGGCTGCGCACAGTCCGCATTCGAGGCTGAAAACCTCGATCACCCGTCACCCATTCCCCATCCCAACAAGCTTCAATCGCTTAACCAACTATCTTTGGACTGAGTTCGTCCTAATCGCACCGGCTTGTCGATATTTGACGACATCGTACACTATTTTCCACAATACCATGGTACTACGTATTGCGCAACAGACGGCTGTTTGATATCATTGTAAGTCCCTCATCACCGCATTGCTGACCAGAATCAAGACATTTCTAATTTTCTAGTCAAACACTCAGAGAAATGTAGCCCGCTGAAAGCGAATCCACCAATCATTTCCCAGAGCGCTTCTTTAACGGCGCAGCAAAATCAGACTTGGTGTTTCCATCACTTTTTTCCTCCAATGATCGATCCCATACTCTTACCCGAGTAGCTATCCACGAACTGACTCCAACTCCATGTAATGTTTGTTTTGTGTGTTTTGGGAAAGGCCACGGAGCCAATCTCTCCGGTGCTGAATTCACCTCAATTCAAGGATTAAAATTAAGCTTGATGTTATGGCCACGGGGATCTGCGGTGGTTCATCGTGATCGATGAACCTCACAAAGTGCGATCATCTCGATCATCTCCTATTACGGACGTCGGACTTGATCATTGAAGCAGGGTAACAAGGCCATTGGCCTAATTGATGCAAACCGCAGAACGGCGTGGGACAACTCGCTTATGCACAAGGCTGGCTAGCAGTATCGTAACACTTTATGGGTGTTGATTCCATGATGCACATCATTATGGTTTTCATCGGCTGGAAATCATGATGCAGGATGCAATCCTCGTTCCTGGCATGGCCGGGAAGACACACGATTGGTTGTTTCGTTGTTTTCCTATTCCAACAAAGATTTTCTTGGCTAATTCAGTGGTCAATTCTCGCACTTGCAAGGTTACAATCAAGTTGTGAAAGCCCCCCAAGGCTGGTTGCTAGATATTACTACGTAGTACACCAGCTGCTTCGGTCGTGTCGGTTACGCGTATCAAATTCGGAGGACAATGGAGCTACTCAGCGCGCTACACGTAAACAAAACAGGATTTGACTTCTCGCTAAAATGCGAAACCGGCGCCAGATCTCGTGACTGCATATGACGTCAAGCTAATCATGCACTCCTTCGGATCGGAACCAGCATCTTTGACTGCATTGTTGTATTCTACCACTATCAATCCGCGGGTCGGTACATTCGCATATTTCAGCTCAGGTCACATGAAGCATACATGTTGAGACTTTCTAGTCAGACTCTTGCCCTATGGTAAAGTTGTCTTTTAGAAGGATGAATCTGCAGACATCATAAGCGAAAGCAAGTTTCCAACGATGATACCAGAAAACTTGGTGGATCACGGATGGATCCGATGACGGAATAACTCCGAATCGTCCATGTATGATAAAATTCTGTTCTATTTCACCACCTTTTCTCAGGCAGTCGATGGGTGGAGACTTTATTCCAGTCTGTACCTCTCCATCTGTCATGTTTGTCTCGTCCCACTTCTCAAATCCAACTGTCAAGATGGAGTTACCGCTTGGCTGGGGTTTGAGCATGGGAGGCTTTTCATATCCTAATGTTATTCATTCGCTGCTTGGCGTGTCCCTGTGCCTGTTCAATGCACCCAATACTGAAGTGCACCAATGCAAAGTGTACACTTTCTGTCCATCACTTTGTTATATCATACGCTATTCATCTTTGTATACATTCATCTTGTCATAGTCGTTTTCTCCTAACCAGCAATGCTATAGACTGTTGTGTTAGCCTAATGAGCCTTCAGACCGGCTATAGCCCAGAACTTCTTGTCGCCGAGAAGGTTTCTGAGAAGTTTTGAATTGCACTGAAAGAGTCCCCACAACGCTCAAATCAAGCGTATCCTCACCTCCTTCACAACTGCTTTCACACTCAACCGTTCCAAATGTCCTGATATCCACACAGGCGTCTGGGCGTCTGGCGTCTACTCCGCCAATGTTGCGACACCAAGAAAGACCGCTTACTCATCCTCAAATATTTCTGAATTAAAGCAAAAAGATTTCATCACCCGGTAAGGGACTGGTTGAGTTGATCAAGAAGTTGGCTTCAAATACAACTCTTATCCGCCCGATTCTGAAATGCTCCGGAACCCCACCCTCGTGCTCGAAATCATAACCCGCCACGACCCTATTACACACCAAAAGTCCTTCCTACATCTCGACCAGCTCCCCTGCCTCCCCATATTCGTCGCTGCTCTTCTTAACAAAAGAGGATATTCTACGCGAACGTGACATTGTTGGTGCCAAGTGAGAAACACCAGGCACACAGGCTAATTGCACACATTGGAGCTTAGCTAGACACCATATCGCTAGGCACAAAATCAATGGTCCCGTGCTAGATTTTGTGAGAGGAGTGGGGGGAGGGGGGCCGCTGATATGCAGAGCGCATGTGAAAATTAGGGTAATTTAAATGAGGAAGAAGGGAACGGCACTGTAGGATGAATTAATGGGAAGGTGGATGGAGAGGCTGGAAGGATGATAGATGTTTCCTCAGAAGAAGGGGAAGGGGTGAGGACAAGGTAGATAGATACTAGTGGTGCAAGAAGTAGAAAGATTGGGGTGTAATCAACACTCTTCAAGTGCGACAATTCTGCACACCGGTGGCATGAGTGATCTGAACAAAGCATTTTACCCGTTCATGGTTTCTTAACCGAGTTGAGCATGATGAGCTGATAGGTGAAAGCAGAGCCCAGGTTTAGGTAGCCATAGCATGATGTATCAAGTTTGTTGGTAAAAACGGAATTTCCACACAAATCATTCAATCGCTGTGCGTAAATTATATTATGTGGAAATCCTCGTCTATAACGCCCAACACCACAAAGCGGGCCACCCCACAAAGCGGGCCAATTTCGGGTCACCCACAAAAAACCACCCTCAAATTTCTAACGCTTATTACTCCACCAATTTACGTCCAAATGGCCTCAAACCAAGAGCAATTGATTCAGCAGGCGTTAAATGACCTAGATATAGGTGCTGAGAAGTCAATTCGCAAGGTAGCTGCCAAATACAGGGTTTCAAAAACGACTGTGGCTTACCGACGCAGAGGTCGCAACCCACGTACGCAAGCCAATCGCAGGACTCAACGCCTATCCCTAGAAGAAGAAAAAACTCTAATTCAGTGGATTCGAGATCTACAGCGGCAGAATCTATGCCCAAATTACCCTAGAATTCGCTCTTTTGTGTACGAAATCCTGCGAAATCGAGGCGATTCGCGGCCCCTGGGCAAGAACTATGTATCTCGCTTCATTTCTCGCCATTCAGAGCTTCGAACAAGCAGATCTCGAGCTATGGATATTAAGCGCCTCTCTGCGCTTGATCCTACGGTTATAGAGAGCTTCTTCTCTGAATTTGAACAGCTCCGAAGTCAGTATGGCGTCGAAATAGAGAATATCTGGAATATGGATGAAACAGGCTTTCAAATGGGTCAAACAACAAGCAATTTTGTGGCCTATGACGCCTCTATAGGGCGCCCTGTTGCTCCGCAGCCAGATAATACGCAATGGGTCACAATTATTGAGTGTATCTCATATCACCGCGCCCTAAAGCCCTATCTCATCTTTTGTGGCAAGGCACCAGAGCTACATATGTTCCCTGCTATTGATGAGCTACCTGACATTATTTGGGCCTTCTCTCTAAAGGGATGGACTGATAATGAGCTTGGTATTGATTGGCTAAGGCGGATATTTATTCCACAGAGGCCTATAGGCAAGCATTCTATTCTGATTCTTGATGGCCATGACAGTCATTCTACAGGCCTATTTCAGTATCTCTGCCTTCAAAACGACATCCATCCACTCTATCTACCAGCTCATGCCTCTCATAAGCTTCAACCACTCGATTTAGGACCCTTTTCGCCTCTCAAAGCAGCATATGGCCAATTAGTACAAAGATTTGCACTAACAGGCCTTGCAACACTCAACCGCAGAGTATTTACCAAGCTCTATATTGAAGCACGTCAAACTACATTTACTGAGCGAAATATTCGTGCTGGATGGCATCGTACAGGAATTTGGCCTCTAAATAAGCAAAAACTACTCAATGACCCTGAAATTCGAAATTTTGGACGTACTACGCCTGAGTATCAACCCCCAGCTACGTCAGATGGTCTCTATAGCACTCCAAAGCAGAGTGACAATTTACGCGCACTAATTCGTCAAATTGAGGCCAAAACAACGCCTCAAACAAGACGCGCTGTACGAAAGCTTGGCCACAGCGCTATTCAAGAGCATACTGGCGCTCAATTGCTTCGAACGCAGCTCCGAGAGCTACGTCAATTGGCTTTGAAGCAAGAGCTTACCAAACGCTCAAAAAGGATACAAAAAGAGACAAAGCAGCGGTCGTGGAATCTCGAACAGGTCAGGGCTGCTCTAGCGCCTAAAAAGGTCCATTTCGTACGCAAGGAGGGCGGCGAAAAGCGAATTCTGCGTACTGTTACATTAGAATAGGCCTATAGAAGCTATTTCTATCGAAATTAGCCAATTTGAATGAGTATAGCATCTCTAATGCAGTAGAATTTGGTGTTGTTGCTAACCCGAAATTGGCCCGCTTTGTGGGGTGGCCCGCTTTGTGGTGTTGGGCGTTAGTGTTTTAAAAAGGGCTGTATTAGGACAGAAAGAGAGTGTCGACTTTTCCACGCAAATACCAACCCTGCTTACCAAGGAATCTATAATTATCCCCCCTCGAATTTTACTATTTTGAACTCACAACTCACAGGCTACGATATTGAAATGGCAAGCAAGCGTCGCAGAGACGTCGCGACCCTAGACACCCAACTGATAGAGATTTATGATGATCTGGCGAACGAGCATGAGGAGATTCGCTTAAGAGCTGCCCATACGCTTCTGTCGAAATTTGCCTCACTAGATTCCAACTCCGAACAAAAAATAAAGACAATACTACAACGTCTCTTCAGAGGCTTATGTAGCAGCCGCAAAGCAGCTCGGCTTGGATTTTCCATTGCTCTGACCGAGTTCCTCGCACAAATCTTTCAGTCTCCAGTCGAGCAGCCAGGTTTGGCGCGAAGTGATATTTTGGATATACTCGACAAGCAGACCTCCCCCGAGGGTTCTACATCAGGCCAGGTCTGCAACATCCTGGTGATTGATTGATTTGATAGCCTATGCTGACGATATCCAGGATGAGCGAGATCACTACTTCGGCCGGGTTTTTGGTGCCGAAGCGATTGTGAAATCATGCATTCTCTTTAGGCCTCACCCTTCTTTGCCGTTATGGCGGGATTTGCTGCAATTCAGCTGCGACCTTGCACTCAAGAAGCCATGGTTACGGCAAGAGTGTGGCTGGCTGTTGTTCACTTCACTCAGCTATCTTCGAGCTTCAAGCCTTGACGCAGAGTTTGCAGTAGCCATTATTGAGTCGCTGAAAGCTAATAGTCTAGTCCGCACCCCAGAAGGGGTGGCAATCTGGCTTGAGATCGAAACATGCTTCGCAGATGCCACGTTGCCTAAAGGTGTTTGGAAGCATCGCGATCCCTTGTGCAAAGGGGAAGCCGCTTTACTCTCAGATGTTATGAAGCATGCCAAAGCCAAGCAGCTGACTGACTCTGGCGAATCTGCTACATCACAAGGCGCAGCGACTTGGAGCCAACAACTCCACTTTTCGTGGGATGTGATACTCAGCAATCTGTTTCTTCCTGCTGATCAAAATGCAAAAGTCTCGTCCAAGCGGATCACGTTTGCGCAGTTCTGGACGGATGTCGTCGACAGTGAGTAATCATCGTTCCTAGATTTGGCTGGAAGCAGACTTAATTTTTATAGAAAGTCTTCTTTTACCTAGCAGTAGCCCGGAGCGAAAGCATTGGGGCTTGCTACTCCTTGCTAAAGCTGTGGCCACTTCACCGTCCGAATATCTCAAGAATATCTTTACACCAAATACGGCACTAGTCTGGGCTCATCATCTCGGGATGGATGAGCGGTATCTACACAGAAGCGCCAAAAAGGCCGTACAAGCACTACAAGCTCGGGCGAATCGAGACCCTAGCATTGTCTCACCCGCAATTCAAGGTCTTGTACTTACGGCTTCAGGCTTGTATAACTTTGACACCATAACGAAGACCAAAACAATCGTTAAACTCCTGTCAGTGGCAGACTTGTCCTCACTGGAGGATCTTGTTCCAGCAGTCTGTGAGGTCATAGAGCAAACAGAGGCTACTGATGAAAAGCAAGCCGATGCCAAAAGAAGATCATTCGCTGACATTCTTGTATCAATATGCGCTCGGACAGTCGTCCTGGTCAATGGGAAGAATGAGGATCCCAATCCAGTGGCTGAGATGGTTCTAGATACTTTGATCGGACTTGCCTATTCGAACAAGTCGCTGCGTCCGGGCTGTAGAATGTTTAAGCCCCTACCAAGTTTTGAATGCAGAAAATACTTACGGTCGCGCATTAAAACGTGCTTAGATCAGAGCTCGCAGCATCGCGCCATGAAACTCTGGTTGCTCAGACATACCATTCATCGCCTCAAGGACGTCCATGAGCAAGCAGATCATGAACATGCGATTGTTGAGTTCGATGAAAAGACCGAGAAAATCGTTGAAAAGGCGTGGAAAAGACTCAGAAAGGTCGCTAAGACTGTAAGTCTAACAATATCTTTAGTAACGGACATAGTCCTAATTGAGAGTGCAGACCTCGGAAGCAAGCATCCAATCTAGCAAGGCACCGGCAACTGAACTCCTCGAGATGCTCTACGGCTTAGCAATACTGCAGGTCTATGATGGAGACACCGATGCACCTGGAATACTGCAGGACCTCAATGACTACCAACACAGCCTTCGTCGACATTCATCTGACCACAATCAAACAGGAGATTCAGATCCCATGCTCGAAATTCTGTTAAGCTTTGCATCTAAGCCTTTACGATTCTTCCACCAGGCAGGTTTGCAAGCCTTTCAGGCCTTTTCAAGCCAGATTTCACGCCAGGGACTACAGTCTCTGATACGAGTAGGTCTGTTTGTAGTCTCGTGAGAGTCAATACTCACATCGTCATAGGTATTGGAGACGAAAGAAAGCTCCTCAGGAACACAGGATATTTTCGATTTCGACGAGGGTGCTAATCATCCACTGGGAGACGTCGAACATGATCAAAGCAATGGCCATATCTCCAGCTCTACTACATCAGATGCAGAATTGCTCGATTCTGATGTGGAGCAAATTTCTGCAAAGAGTTCATCAATCGGGGAGGGCTCGGATGAAGGAATTGAAGACGATCAAGCTGAGCTGGAGGCTTTTGATGCTAAGCTTGCAGCTGCTCTGGGAACCCGCAAGGGGCGGGACGATGTCGATGCAGAAGACACCGAAGGCTCAGATGAGGACATGTATGAAGAAGACATGGACGAACAGGAGATGGAAGCATTAGATGAGAAACTCGCCGAGGTATTTAGAGCACAGAAACCCACAACTAACAAGAAGCAAGAGCGGAAGGACACGAAAGAAGCAGTCATAAACTTCAAGAGGAGGGTCTTGGACCTGGTCGAAGTATATTTGAAAGAAGAACAATTGAATCCGCTTGCGCTGGATCTGGTGCTACCACTGATCAGAACTGCAAGAACGACTAGTGCGAAGCAGATCTCGAATCGAGCCCATGACGTCTTGCAAGGCTTCTATTCCAGATGCAAGGGAAGCAACGTGCCAGTGATTGATGATGGCGGCGGTGCTGTCAATGAAGTCCTGACTTATCTCAAATTGGTCCACGAAGAAGCAGGACGGGACAACTCTGGTGCACATGCCGCCGCTTGCAGTCGAGCAAGTATTCTGCTGGTCAAGGTTCTGATGAAAGCACAGGTCAACGTGGGGATGATGGTCGATGTCTATGCGGAGACAAGGAAAAGGCAGCTGTTGGATCCGAACTGCATGGTACAGCCGATATTTTTCACCGAGTGGAACAACTGGTGCGTCACTGCGAGAGATCAACTGGCGAGTTGAGACACAGTTCGAGTTAGCATGAGCAGTCAAGCAAGCGCTTGGTCGGTAATCATTATTCCATCAAAGCGAAGTGTTTCCCAGCGCACTGTGCACATGAAATAGTGGGCGACTGGAGAACTTGAAGGCAGAATGCTTGGCAAGACTGGCATCAATATGCGCTAAACCCAGAACAGACAATTATCAACATGCAGAATTGGCAGACCGCATCTTCCCACCTACAACTTTTGCAGTACAACTTGAATGCCAGCATTTGATAACTGCAGCTAATAACGACAGTGCATTGCGTAGAGCTTCATCGAATCATTCACAGTCATTATCAGGATGTCGGTCTCGGAAGACCTCATCAATTTCGACCTCATCGAGACCCATAAGGAAAACATACAACAACTTCCTAGCGGTCGATCAGCACGACAGCTGGTCAACATATTATCGCCAACGCCGACCGGCAAACTGCAGTCTCCCTCTCTCGATGACACCAAGACTCTGAACGATGCGATACGACATGAATATGAACATGAAGTGCAAAACATTGCAGAATCAGATGACCCTCTGGACGTGTTCGACAGGTACGTCAAGTGGACGCTGAATGCCTATCCTTCTGCTCAAGCGACGCCGCAATCCCAATTGCTCCCTCTGCTCGAGCGTGCAACCAAAACCTTCCTGGCTTCCTCACATTACAAGAATGATCCCCGGTATCTGAAGCTATGGCTGCATTACATCAGATGGTTCTCCGATGCGCCGCGCGAGACATTTGCTTACCTATCTCGACACAATATTGCTGAAGGCCTCGCGCTGTTTTATGAAGAATTCGCCACATGGCTGGAAAGCGCAGGGCGCTGGAGCCAAGCTGAACAGGTCTACAAGCTCGGAATTGAGAGGGAAGCTCGACCTGCGGAGAGATTGATGCGGAAGTTCGGCCAATTTCAGCAGCGTTTTGCTGCCAGACCACAAGATCCGAACGAGCCAACCTCACCCGCATTACCAACAGTACGGCCGGCATTGGCTGCAAAGATCGACCCATTCGCATCCACACCTCGATCGAATGACCCTCAAGCGGCTCAACGCGTCGGAAGTGGAACCTCGTCAAGACCAGCGAAAGCCAAGATGGCAGTCTTCTCTGATTCTGGCAACGCGACACCGCCTGCTACCGCACCACCAGTGGAGGGATGGCAGAGCATTGGATCATTGCACGAAAGGAAGAAGGAGAACGCAATGGCGGCAAAGCCATGGGTAGGGGAGACATTGAAGGCTGGTAAGCGGGCTGGAACCACGGAGAAGATGACGATATTCAAAGACCAGGTCAGTACCGTACCCGATGAGATCATTCTCTAAATCCTCACATTTACGAATATAGGACTAACGGATGGCAATCATGTTGTGTTGATAATTAGACCTTACGAATACAAGAAACCAACCAAGCCTATACCGCCCCTAATCCTCCACCCCCCGTGATGAATTCCAAGACGGGGAGGCCAGAACGTGTTTTCGTGAACCTGGAAGCTGTGTATCCAAATTCTGCTAATCCTGCAGACGAGATGAGTTTCGATGAATTAAGGGCTATACACAGGGGCTGGGCAGACAAGGACTGGAGGGAAGAAAGCAAAAGGGCTTTGCAGGCTATTTCAGGGAATACTCAACGCTCACCACCCAGCCTGAGCAATGCTGTGATGGATAAGCTGTCAAAAGAACTTGAGAAGAAAGCATGTATAGACGAGAATGAAAGCTCCCAGCAATCTACTCCTACCACCAACAGCCAGAATCAGAGCCAGGAGGTCAGACCAGCAAAGCAGAGGAGGATGAAGATTAGAGAAGTCAAACAAGAAACCCAGACAAGTAAGCAACTGCTACCTCAATTGCTACCTTAGCCTTCCACCATGACCAGCTAACATGTGCCAGTCAAAACAAACTTGGCCTCTCCCACTGGCCCTAAGATCCGACGGAAACTGACAGCGGAGCCAACAATGACCTTTCATAGCAAAGCTGCCACAAACGATGTTTATGATCTATTTAACCAACCACTTAAGTGTGAAGCACCCAAAGAAGATACTCAAAGTGCAGGTGAAAGCGATATTGACGATGATGGCTATTCAACAGCTGGCGAAAGCACAGGGACTGGGATGATATCCGGAGCGGTAAGTGAATCTGGAAACGAAGACACAAGTGTTTCTGTCCGCACTACCATGACCGGGGATGAGGAGACCAGTAATGGTACAGTAAACACAGCAGAAACGGGTGGTGAATGGACTGAATTCTCCACCAGCAAACACATTCCACCACAGAATTTGACTGGTCACCAAGGCTCAGATGAGGCCCCTTTGATCCAGCACGTGGACAACACGTTTTCCAACATGGCTGTTGAGCATGCTCATCCTGAGGAGGAGCTCAGTACGCCCATAGAGCCAGAGGTGCAAGTGGTGGAGACAACGGCCAACACTCCCTTTGTTCCCATCCCGCCAGAAGATTATAATCCAGCTCCTCTGCGAACATTCCGTGACCCATCAAACGTTGCACAAAGCAGGCTCCCTTTCATGACTCCCATTGTTGAGAAGACTGAATCGTCGCTAGCAGCCAACACCGTCTATCAAAAGGGAGAGCAAGATTATTTTACCGCCAGAACACCTTCACGATCAAGCTCAAGCAAGATTGACAGCCCATCGAAGATTGGAGTGGACAGATTACTTGTCAGCAGTCCCTTTGCCGAAAATGCGTCACCTCATCGAAGTGGTGGTAGGGCGAGGTCACCTACCCAGCTGGATTTTCCAGTTTCGCCATCGCCAAAATCCAAGAGAGCGTCAAGAAGTGTACTTGAAGAGCAGGAAGATGACTTGTCCAGTCCGAGAAAGAAGCTTCAGATCACCAGAGGACATGGCTCACCCACCAAAATCAAGGTCAAAGTGACGACAACACCAAGCTCACCAACAACAGCGGACCATGAAGATGGCTTCATCAAAGCCGCGATTCCCACCCAAACAACAAACCCAGCAACAGAGAAGAGTCCCATCATTACCGATCTACAATGCAACCCTACCGAACCATCCATCCGCAACCAGATCCTAGCCAACATCCAACCGCCGCTTTCATCCTACACTGGCTTTTTCAACCACCCGGACCACACGTTTGGAAGATACACCCAACTCCAAAAGTACGCCAAGAAGGTGCAAGACAGCAAAACCAAGTCCTCACCCCGAAAAACCAATGACAAGAGCCCACCCGGCCCCGCCGGTCCTGTCCTTCACCAGCGCCTCCCGCGTCTACGCCGTGAAGCGTGAACTCGGTCAAGGAGCCTTCGCGCCCGTCTACCTAGTCGACAGCTACGATCCAGATCGGCCGGTCGAAGACAACGATCCCAATCAACCGTCTGACTCTGACTCCGAGTCGCAAGAGAAAGGAAGAAGAAGAAGAAGAGGCAACCTCGAAGCCATAAAAGCCGAATCCCCACCCTCGCAAGCCATCTGGGAATTCCACATCATCCGCACCATCCACCGTCGCCTGCTCAACAAGAACAACAACAACAACAATTCCAGTTCCCAAGATGAATGCCGCGCCCTCGACTCCATCATCACCGCCCACGAACTCCACGCCTTTGCCGACGAAGCATATCTGGTCCTCGATTTCTGTCCCACGGGCACGCTGCTCGATCTCATCAATCTCGTGCGAGCGGACAACAAGCGCGCGGGCAAAGCGGCGGCGGACGCGGCCGGCCTGGATGAGGTGCTCGCCATGTTCTTCACCGTCGAGCTACTCCGCACGGTGGAGAGTCTGCATGGGGCGGGGATCCTGCACGGCGATCTGAAGGGCGACAATTGCCTCATCCGCCTCCCCTGCAACTTCTCCACCGCAAAGCAAAGCCTAGACCTGGGCGCGTACACGGCGGATGGAAGCAACGGCTGGGCCGGGGTGGGCATCACGCTGATCGACTTCGGGCGCGGCATCGACGTGACGGATTTCCCCGCGCGCGTCGGCTTCATCG